GTTATAAAATTTAAAATTTTTTTGAAAACTAAAGTTTATAGTTAAATTTGACACTAAGTATATTCAGTCACGTTTGGATTTTCATATTCATTATTATTAAGTAATCATATCCAATTTTCACATCAAATGTTTCAATTTAAGAATATTGCTGGCAGATACTTTTATAGAATACCTAACAACGACAATGTTGAAAATCTTCATTGACTTGTCCAACTGTACTTTTTTATAGTAGATACAATTTATTACAAAAGAAATAGAACTACAGCTAATTAGAGCTACAGTCCTAAGAATCAAGAACATTTTAATAAAAGGAGACAACAACTTTCTAGTTGAAAGTCTTCAACTAGAGCTAATTAGAACTACAGTCATTAGAATCAAGAACATCTTAAGAAGAATAAGACAACAAATTATTGAAAATCTTCACTTCTGCTAAGTAAAAACCAAAGAGAGCCTGAGAATCATCTCATTAGGGCTTTTCCAATTAGAAAATTCTAAATAAACACAGAGTTAGTACAAAAGATGGTGAAACAAACAAACAAAAAAAACAATTTGCATCTTAATTTACCCTGTCCAAGTGTGCTTTAAGTATATTCATGTGTTGTATTTTTTCTTTCATGTTAAAAGTACATATCAGAAAAGTAAATATTCACGAATCAAGTACTACTTTTGTCCACTGTTACCTGCTATCTTAATTTCTTTTCTCTTGCGTTCTTATACTGTTATAGATACAAAATAGATATGTATCTACCTCACTGGTTTGGAGTATATAAGATATGTATATGTATATACGCACACAAGTTGAGTATCTCTTATCCAAAATGTTTGGGGCCAGAAGTGTTTCAGATTTTAGATTATTTTCTGATTTGGGAATATTTGTATATACATAATGAAGCCTCCTGGGGATGGGACCAAAGTTTATAACATTTATTTATGTTTCATATATACTTTATACATATAACTGAGAGCAATTTTATATAATATTTTTAATAGTTTTGTGCATAAAGTTTATATACACTGAGCCATCAGAAAACAAAGGTGTCACTATCTCAGTCACCCATATGGACAATCTGTGGTTGGTTGCCATCATCATTGTCCTTGACTCTGAATTTATGTGCTGCCAATAAACAATTGTTTTCTTACACTTATTTTCACATAGATACTTAATAGTAAAAAATAAAGGCATACCATTAATACAGTAAAGAAAAAAAAAGTAATATGTTCAAGGTAACTAAGGAGCACAGTAGCATCAGCAGACTACCTGTATCAGCTATTAAACAACAGCAACAACAAACAATTGCAGGCTTTCAGTCTCTATCGACAATTCTGCATTTTGATTAATAGGTTACTGTACACTGTATTTTTTTTAAGTTGAGAAGAAATATTAGAAGCAGATGAGAGACCAAGAAGTGAGTCTTTGGGATGAGGGCTTTTTCTTCAGATACATCTGCCTCATTAACAGTGTTTTTTGCTTTAGATATCCCGTTTTTATTTTATAAACTGACATCATTTTTTTTTGTTATGACTGTATGCTTCTCTAGTCCTTCAACAAGCCCATACACATTTTTATGATGATGTCTGTAGGTACTTTTTCTGTAGTGTTAACCTTATCTTCATTGTTACTATTATCATGATCACCTTGATTCAGAATCGTTTTGGCTACTTTACCATCAGTCAATCAATAAACAATTGGAGCCACATTATCAGTGTTCAAAATATCTTCAATATCCACTTCTTCCAGCTTACTGTCAGACTCTGATGCTGTATTTTTTTACATATGTAAGGAAGTTAGATTTTCTTTTTCACTTGACATGGAAGTACTTCAAAGTCACCACCTAGTTCATGATCATCATTTAACGTAGTCACAGGCCAGAGGTTGTGCCTGGCATGCACAACTGTCTTTAGTTACTATTTTCCAAGCATTGGCAACAGAATATAAGACATCCTTCATGCTAAAGCCTATCAAAAACTTTTCCAGCCCTCTTTTCACTGCTGCTAGCATGTTGTTCAAGAAAGTGCTTTTGCATTTACTGTTCATTGATCTATGTAGACCCTGGTGTCATGGCTGAATTAATGAAGTCAACTTTGAAAGAAAATACATGACATGAATATTATTTTGATGAAAGTATTAGCTGGAGGATGAGAGAACAATTGTCAAAGAATAGCAAAATCTTGCAGTTGCCATTTAGTCCAGCATCCCTACAGTGAGCATGAACCACTAGTACAAAATGTTTGTGAAACCAATCAGAAAAGATACTTCTGTTGATCTATGCATTTTTGTTAGCATAATAATGGACTGGCAAGAAATTCACTCCTTGAAAGCAGTGAGGACAAAAGCTTTTGCCTATCACGCAAGTCTACCTATATGCACATCTGCTATAATAGCACATCCTAGCAGTTATTCTGTCCTTGGCATCCTTAATTCCTGTAGGGGCCGTCTCATCGGTTGTAGCCACCATCTTTCTGGGGTAATAATGTTAAAACAGAGTTGTTTCCTGAGCATTCTAGACATGTTCTGGCATTAGATTTTCATCAGCAGTGACCTTGGCAACCTTATTAATGAATTGAATTTCTTTGCTGTTTTGTGATCAACAGAGAGTTTATCTCTAGAAATCTTTAAAAGTGTAATGTCATGTATTTTCTTAAATTTATTCAACCAGCCTCTTGAATATTCACAGTTCTCTTCAATTTTCAGGTAATCGTAATGAATTTTTGCATGTTTCTTGATCAGCATAACATTAAGCGGCCTGTGTTCACTGTGATGCTGATAGATGCACTGTTTCAATACACAACTGAAATCTTCATTTTTTAGCTTTATTCAGTGCTTTTCTATTTTTTATTAGCTGCTGTTCACTACTTTCAGCACATAACTTCAAGCATTTATTATTTTATCTCTTCAGGTCATATATGGTTATCCTTACCATACCATACTCTTCTGTAAGAATATTCACACTTCCAGCACCATCTGATTTCTCTAACAGCTTGATTTTCTGTGCTATAGGGAAACATAAATGCTTCCTCTTTTTTTTTTTTTTTATCACTGCTACCAATGTGGGTATCCACGGGTCTTTTTGACATTTGAATAGTATTTTCACTTAGAAGAGAATTATAAACAATAAAGAAGATCACAGTGAATAATGCTTGTAAGTCTTGGCCCCATGTGGAACATCATGGAAACCTGCTGTTGGCACTTCCCATTTTATTACTGTTTGTGGGTATGCATGCATAAGGAAATCTGGGCATGTACAGAAAAGATATATCATGGCTGAAGGGAATTGGGAGAGTATTTGCTCCCCTGGGGATGATGAATAAACTTTATGTTGTATGACTGTGTTTTGACTGTAACATGTCACATGAAGTCAAGTGTGAAGTTTTTACTTGTGGCCTCATGTCGACGCTCAAAAATTTTTATTTGTGGACCATTTGAGATTTTGAATCTTTGAATGAGGGATGTCCAACCTGTGTATACATGACACATATGTATACATATATGTATATACATATGCATATATATACTGGAAATGTAAATAAATAGTTCAATATTTATAGAAAATTAGGTTTTTGGTGATTTTTTCACCTGTATGGTGGATTTAATTATTTGCTTTAACCCCTTTGTGAAATTATTTGCCATGTAACCTTTTAATTCCACCCATACACACAAGAAAATACTCTTCCTTCATTACACTTTGATGTTGAGCTCAGTCATGTGACTTGCTTTAGCCAATAAGATTTTAGAAGATAAGACACAATGTGTTTTTGTGAATGCATCCTTACCCTCCAGCTCTTTGCCATTACCACGAGAATAATAATCTTGGCCAGCTGTTGGCTCCATAAGAAGAATGGCAAAAGTGTGATGCCAACCCACCCCAGCAAAAATTAGAGACATTTTAAAAACATTCCTTTCAGAAAATCTTCTGGATTTTCTTTCTTTTTTTTCTATGCTGGAATAGATGCCTCTTCCCATATCTTTGTAATTATTCTCTCCATAGCTTTATCACTGATTTTACCACAATATACTAAGATTGCTTTTTACTTTGTTGTAATCTTTCACCAGACTAACTTTCTGTGCAGCTGGAAATATCTCAAAAATTTTGGAAAAAACATCTGTGCCTTGATACCATAGTAGCTAAATAGTATCAAATAAGTAAATTAATTTAAGGGACTAAGTCTAACATGCAAAGTGAAATTACATTCACATTGAAATGATTCAATAAGATCTTATAGTCAATTGACTGACTTGTCCCAGTTTTTACTTCCTTGTGATAGTAACATATGTCTACACCTTTGTCATGTGTCAAGGTAAAGGAAGTATTTCAGCTCTTAATTCTGGACTTAGACATATGCCTTGCAATGGCCCATGGACTATTAGCAGACATGACACAAGTACAAGCCTGAAAAATAACACAACAGTTGAGCCTACCCTTGGACTTGTTATTGTCATGTGCAAAACATGTCCTGGGTAACCGATTAGTCCAACTGGTCCAAGAAAAACACACCAAGAGAACTTGGATCTAACTTACAATTTGGAGCAAAACTCAGCCTAAATCAGCCAGCCTCTAGTAAGCACACAGATTTATGAGGGAGAATCAATGGTGGTTATTTTTTGCCTCTCAGTTGCAGGGTGGTTTGTTACAAGAATGACTGTGGCAAGAACTGATACTCATCTATGAAGAGATTTTTTTGTTCATGTAACTAATGAATCAATTACAGTTTATTTTGTATCCAAAGAGAAATTTCCTTAATCAAAATGAATCCAGAATGTCTTATTCACAGAGTTAAATTAAATCACCATGTTAACAGATGGATGGTCACAATTTTAATTAATTTTAACTGATAAATAACATTACCTACTTCTTCCTCTAAATATTTACATAGGTATACATACACATGTACACATGTATACGTGTATACATCTACATAATTATTAAATTGAAGTTTAGGTATGTGGTCAATACTGCTGCATATATATGTCCCATCTTCTCTTTTCTCCATTTTTCATGTAGTTTCTCAAAAGGCCATCTGGACTAAAGAAGAGGGTTCCCAGTCTCCCTTCAAGCTAAGTGAATTTGTGTACTGGACAACAGGATGTTGGAAGACATAATCTCTGCCACTTGTATGTAATACCTTAAAGGAAAGGAAAATGCTACTTCTTCCTCTTTTACCTTTTTACTATTATCCAGAATTTGGATAGGTGGTAGTAAGCCATTTAAAAATCGAGATGAGCAAAACACTGGATAAAAGAAGGCTGACTCTGATTACTTTGTATAGCACAGCTACCATATTAGCTTGGGCCTTTAATTCATGTGAGAATAAATGTCTATTTTGTTTAAGCCATTGCTAATACTCTATATAAAATGTATGTCATAAAAATGCAAGATATATATCCTATTCATTTGAATTACTCTAGGTGGCCTAATTTTTTAATTAAATATTTTTAAAAATTGTAAAATTAACATATGTTTGTTAATGCACTTGTTCACTGAGTAAAAAATATAAATTTTACTGTCTGCATTCTCCTGTCTAGAAATTGTCATGAGTTTGGTACTATTATTGCCTTGCCAGACTAGGCTAGTTTTCCTTACCCTACTCCCAACTGTGTAAGACATTAGATGTCAAATATATGTCACCAAAGACGGTGGTGGCAAGCAATTCAAGTGTTTTTCACTCTCAGACATAGGCAAAGTGAGTTTGGGGACCACAAACAAGAAGAAGGGAGAGGAGGAGAGAAGAGGGGAGGGGAGAAGTTGGAAGAAATATATGATAGAATACTACCTGCTGCATTTTTGAAAGCTGAAGGCGAACTAATATTGCGTGTCTTTCCCTAGTAGGAGTGGACATTGGAGAGTGAAGCTGAGATCAATAGCAGGCAGGGGTAGCATGGCTTGCACATGATTTATCTGTTAGGCATAGCAGATGTGATTGAGGCAGGGATGGGTACCTGACAGTTTTTTTGCATGTTCTTTTCTGTTAGTGACTTATTTCACTCAGCTCTTTCTCACAGGTGAGTATAAATCAAGTTCAAATTTGATGTTGCACTAAAATTGATTACATTTAAGGAGAATTGTAGAGGCTGGGCCATTTAGCCCGAATATATGATCAACGCTTATTCCAGATGCTTTTGTGAGAGTGTTTCTGTATAATAGCAACGTTTAAATCTGTGGATTTTGAGTAAAGCAGATTGCTCTTTGTAATGTACATGGGCCTTATTCAATCAGTTGAAGGCCTGGACAGAACACTGATCTAAACCACACACACACCACACACACTGTCACACACACACACACACACACACACACACAAACAAACATATACACATCTTATTGGTTCTGCTTCTCTGGAGAACCTTGACATATAGGGGACATACCAAAGTAGTTACTAGATATGAAGTATGTTCATATGCATTTTCTAGAAGAAACTTATATTCTACATAAAAGTAAAATGATGATGGTGATGAAAATGGTAATTGCCACTAGATACTTAGATTATATTATAATTCACTTTAAGAATTCACAGTGTTATATTGTCATTAACACAGTACTGCCATCTATCCTGGCTCTTATGTGTTATTTATTAATTTACCACACAAAGCTATTGTGTATAGTGAACTAGTTGAACCATAAATAAAATAATTTACTATGACAAGTAAACAGGAATATTTATCCAGTAAGGTTTACCTTCAGTTTTGTCTGCAACCAGTGTAAAATGCTGTCTTGTATTAATGAATAGATTCAGTGAAGCTAGCCAAAGCACCTGCCAAAAACACCTTAAAAATGTTTCTTTTATGGAACTTAAAAAATTAGTGTTCAAGATGTTAATTCAAAGTATTCAGGGAACAAGCACATACCTTGTGTTAAACAGTATTTATATGAAGTGGGAATTCAAATTACTGAGGCTTAATTGTGTGAAGGTAGCTGGAACATATAAATAACTTTGGGGTAAGGTGTTTGGATAAGGCACTACTCAAGCAAAGACCTTCTTTCTTTCTTTGCTTTTTTTTTTTTTTTTTTTTTACTTAATGAAGTATCTTTCTAAGTTTCCTTTTAGAAAAATGCTTTCTAAAAGGGTATGGATACTTTTCTAATATACCATGGATAACAGGAAATGACAATAATAATGATGGCAGATACTTATAAATATGTGGATCAAAAATGAATATTCTACGAGTTTTAGGTGGAAGCTTACTCAAGATGGGATACTCCATGAAAATCTTTTCCCAAATATTTGGGTCTTCCATATTGATACCCATCCTTACTGCCTGTATCACAGGGAAAGATGACTTAGGTAAATACCTTTCTTATGCTTTAATTTCCATCCACTCCCATTTCATCAAGGATATTGTTTCACAAATTACCATTTTTTTTCTTGGCTTCCTTTTCTTGCTCTTTGCTGTCTCCTTCAAAAAATAAATGCATGTATTCAATTTCTCCTGTCTTAAAAACATCTCCCTTAATTCTGTGTACCCCAACTACACTCAGTCTTCATCTCTCAACCATGCTTTTTGTCAGGGCTGTAGAGGTTTGCTCTCTCCGAGACTTTATTTAGTCATTCAGCCTTAGGGATTAGTCTTTGAATACATTATAAAATTTAATTCTTAAGTATCTGACAAACTACATGTAGATATTTCCTACTCCTAATTTATAGATGTGGAAACTGAGGCTGAGAGAGGCTGAAGGACATGCTCAAGACAGCTGGAATCCAAAGCCTGCCCACTAGAATGTGGATATTGTCATCCCGTCTAAAATGTTCAACTGGAGCTCATTGATTGGGTGCCTACTCTATTACTATGTATCAGGCACTATCAAGCTTTTTACCCATTTTTTTAGTCCTTATGACATTCTGTATGAAATGGGTACTCTGATTTGTCAACTCTGTAATTCTCTCAAATTCAAAATGAAATGGTTTTTATAAAATTGTGAATAAAGTGAACACGATTTTTTCTTTGTTCTTATTCCCCATATTATTTATTGCTTCTGAGCACTCTTTTTGGAGGAAGATATCTTCATGTCTTACATATATTTGTAACAGAAAAATTTGAAAAATTTGTATATAAAGGAGAATGTAAAAATCAACAATCATCCTACTATTCAGATGATTATCATTACCATTTTACTGTATATATTTTCAATTTTTATCTGGTACACATTCACACACACACACACACACACACACGCATATTTGGAAAAGCAATATCTTCTTTCCTCACCCATTGCCAGGTGCATAGTTGAGACCTTTTAGGCATGTTAACAAGAGAAAAACATATACATTTATTTAATGTAAGTTTTACATGACATTAAAATCACATTCATGCCTTTTGGAATGAAGACCCAAATAAACAAGAAAAATCTGTGTATTTTCTGGTCAGCCATGAGGAACTATGATTGGAGGACAAAAGGGTATAATCTAGTAAAAAACTGGGGGAAACAGCAAGACACGTTTGTTCAGATTCTGTTTGGCATCTCTGTGCCTTCAGACATGAGAACATTCCTTTCCTCCAAGTATAGAGAAGATCCTTTTGGAATGAGAGCCTTATTACTCACTTTGAAGGAAAGTCAGGTAAGTTTTGCAGCCTGCTGCAGGGGAGCAGAGTGGGAGAAGGGGTGCAAGTGACCCTCCTGCTTCTGCTGTTCCTTCAAATACCAAGGTGCTATATGAGGTAGCATATTCTAAACTCCATCATAAATAGGTAGTGGTTTCACAGAATGACTCTTCTGTTAGGTATTTAACCAGGAGTTCTATTATTGGATTTTTAGTTTGTTTTTGAAATTTTATTTGGCTATTTTTAAAAATGCTATGGTTTTCCTGAGGATAATTTGCCAAAAGTATAACTTCAAGTTAAAAGTTACTCATAGTTTCATTTGCTTTTTTAACATTATTACTTTTTAAAGTTTATTTTAGGTTCACAGGTACATGTGCAGGTTTGTTATATCGGTAATTGTGTGTCACAGGGGTTTGGTATGTGGATCGTTTTATCATACAGGTAATAAGAATAGTACCTCAAAGATAGTTTTTTGATCTTCTCCCTCTCCCTCCTCCTACCGTCCACTCTCAAGTAGGCCCCAGTGTCTGTTCTTCCCTTCTTTGTGCTCAATGTTTAGCTCTCACCTATAAATGAGAACATATGATATTTCATTTTCTATTCTTGGATTAGTTAACTTAGGATAATGGCCTCCAAGTTCTTCCATGTTGCTGCAAAGGAAATGGTCTCATTCCTTTTTATGTCTGCATAATTTCCCATGGAGTATATGTACCACATTTTCTTTATCCAGTCCACCACTAATGGGCATTTAGGTTGATTCCATGTCCTTGCTATTATGAACAGTGCTATGATGGACATATGCATGCATGTGTCTTTATGATAGGTTGATTATATCCCTTTGGGTATGTACTCAGTAATGGAATTGCTCAGTTGAATGATAATTCTGTTTTGAGTTCTTTGAGAAATCGCCACACTGCTTTCCAGAATGGCTGAACTAATTTACATTCCTAACAGCAGGGTATAAGAGTTCCTTTTCTCTACAACCTTGGCAGCATCTGCTATTTTTTGACTTTTTAGTAATAGTCATTCTTACTGGTGTAAAATAGTATCTCATTGTGGTTTTGATTTCCATTTTTCTAATGATTCATGGTGTTGAGTATTTTTTCATATGCTCATTGGCCAGGAATATGTCTTCTTTTGAAAAGTTCTGTTCATTGCCCACTTTTTAATGAGGTTGTTTGCTTTTTGCCTGTTAATTTGTTTAAGTTCCTTAAAGATACTGGATATTAGACCTTTGTCACATACGTAGTTTGCAAATATTTACTCTCATTCTCACAGAGTGGACTGTTTACTCTGTTGATAGTTTCTTTTACTGTGCAGAAGCTTCTGGTTTAATTAAATCCCATTTGTCAATTTTTGTTGAAATTGCTTTTGGCATCTTTGTCATGAAATCTTTGCTAGGGCCTGTGTCCAGAATGCTTGACCCTCCTTCAAATCACCTAAGCAAAGTCCTTACTAACACCCCCTTACTGCAAAGTTCTATAATTCTCCATATTATCCCTTCTTTCTCACTGCAAAAAGTTATAACCCTAACTTGTTCAACTATAAGTGTGTTTCTGGTGGTCTTTGGCTGAAGACCATTGATCACACATAAGAGTTATCAACCTACTCAGATTTTCATTACTTTTGTTCAACATCAATTATTATCCCTTTTACCAATAGTTAGGGTACTTTTAAAATGTCATAGCTAGGCCGGTCTCAGTAGCTCACATCTGTAATTCCAGCAGTTTGGGAGGCCAAGGCGGGAGGATCACGAGGTCAAGAGATCAAGACCATCCTGGCCAACATGGTGAAAGCCTGTCTCTACTAAAAATACAAAAATTAGCCAGGCGTGGTGGCATGCACCTGTAGTCCTAGCTACTCGGGAGACTAAGGCAGAAGAATTACTTGAACCTGGGAGGCAGAGGTTGCAGTGAGCTGAGATTGCACCACTGCACCCCAGCCAGGGTGACAGAGTGAGACTCAGTCTCAGAAAAGAAAGAAAGAGAGAGAGAGAGAGAGAGTGAGAGAGAGAAAGAAAGAAGGAAGGAAGGAAGGAAGGAAGGAAGGAAGGAAGGAAGGAAGGAAGGAAGGAAGGAAAGAAAAGAAAGAAAGAAAGGAAGGAAGAAAGAAAGGAAGAAAAGTCAGCTTGTCTTTTAAAATTAAACCTTCAAAAATTATGTATAGTTTTTATAGCTTCAAAAACTTCAGCTCTGCGTTTTTATTTTTTATTTTTTTTGATTTAGTGATGGCCATATGTGTTACTTTCTATTTAATATCCTTCACTTATTGTGTTTACCAAACAAATGCTCTTGGTTACTATTTAATTTACTTAAGATAAGTTCATTTAAGAGATCATTAGAGACACATTTGGAATTAGAATGCAACATTTAATAGCATGCTGAGATAGTTAATGGTTTGTGATTTCAGAGTACAATGCGTAAACTTTATAATGCTGTGTTTTTTAGCAGGACAAAATGTGATATAGTTATACTAATTTCCATATTGAACTACTGCCTAGAAGAATTGTTTAATCACCAGTTCCAAGGACAGTAATATTAACAAGATAAACATTTAAGTAAATGGAGCTTTTTAGTACTTTGCTATCAACTGCAAATTCACTTTAATTTGGAAACTTTCTGATGAATTCCCTTTTTGCTTTTTTATCCAGCTTAGTTAAACTAGTTTTGACATTTTTTTTCTAAACTGTTATATCAAAATGTCAGGTAGTGGAAAGAAATAATACCCCTATTGTACATGTTATAAATAAAATGCTTAATCTATCAAATATCAATTTATGTTTATGTTCTACTCTGTCATAAAGTTTATATGTAACATCAATATGATATCACCTTTTTATGTTTAGGTAATTATTGGTCTAAGTAGACAATAATAAAACAATATGGTCAATGGAACTGTGAATATTTCATACAAAGTTAAATTTACATTTCTATCAACTAGATCTTTTTAACTATTATACTAGATCTATTAACTACCATGGGAAGCAAAATAAATAGGGAAATACTCTTTTTCTTCGAAATGCTTTTAATAAGACTTAGTTATTCTAAGTTAACTGGAATTTGAATGTGGGAAAGTAATTGAAAATAATAATCACAAAACCTAATTGAGCACTTACTATTAATAATGGATTGTTGAAATGCTTCATATGTATTAATTCATTTAATGATCACAAAAATCCTCTAAGGAAAAATGACATAACTGCTAAGTGCCAGCCTAAACCATGGTCTCCTCTTCCTTCTCAGCTGACAGACATTCTTCATTTTCACTGAAGTCAGAAGTGGTCATGTGACTAAGTTCTAGCCAGTGGAATATGAAAGTGATCTGTGTTCCTTCCAGGTCTGGCCCATAAAAGCCTCCTACAAGTGATCCTCTATGCTCCTTTTGCTCTTATGGTTGACAGAAATGAAGATGTTTCCTCGTATGTCCTTGGAAGGCCTAGGTTATAAATGAACCACCACTGTCTTCAGTCATTGAAACTGAATTTCTGTTATAAAGTCAAACCTAATTGTAACTGATATGGTTCTAACACAACATATATGAAAAGGTCTTTTCATTCTTAAAGCAATCTTAAAATTACATCTCATCATATTTTACACCATATTATTTCACTATTCATCTTCTCAGGCTTTTTTGCTACATACATATAGAATTATATATTATTACATTTCTCACAACCTATAACCAAATACAGTATAATAAATATATTTAGATATATCAATAAATGCATCAACAGGGATTTACTGCACATATTCTCTCTAATTTCTAAAGTACCTTGAAATACCTAAAATGTTTTGAATACTAAAAGACTCTAATTTCTAAAATACTTGGGAGAGCTAAAATACTTGGAAGAGATAAATACTAGAGATAAAATAAAACATCAGTATAAAAGAAGTACTTAAAAACGTAATTATAGACCAAATTCTTGTAGAATGCTTGTCCCCTTGTGTTTAAGAACAGAGAATGAATTAGTTTGTTAAGAAAGATTGTTAAAGATTTAAATTTGACATTTCAGTTTTAATCAGAATGTTCCTTTTGTTCTTTAATCTCTAGCCTCTGTTATCTGTAAATTGTGTAGCTACTTTGAAAAATTCTACTACCTTTGATTGCTTCTGTGTGGCGTACTCAGAGTACAAATAGTATTACAGTAGCAGCATATTCAGAAAACAAATAATATTAAACAAGCAATTGGAGCAAACAATATAAATATGAAGAAGATTTTAAGAGGATACATATCTTAATGGTCACTCTTCAAAAAATTATTAGTTGTTTTTATGCTGGAGATGTAAAGATCCAATTGAATTCAAATTCTAAACTTTGTGTAATCCTTTTCAGCAGATTTTACAGGAATGAGTAAAAGATTGATGACTAAATGATTCCAGTTTTTGAAATTTGCAATACAGTCTTGAATCTCT